TTTTATTAAATGATTAATATTTATAATATAAAATAATTTAAATTGTAAAATATTTTTTAATAAAACAAAAGTTTGACAAAAAAAAATACAATAATTATTTATTTGATCTCGTGCAGTCTAAATTGAAAAAAATGTGAATGTAATGCTCCAGTCATTGTCATCAAGTTGCAAGCCGCTAGGCTAATTAGAGGAGGAAAAGCATCCGCAGTTTCGCATATGAAGCAGTGTAGATATGAAAACAGCAATGATAATTCCATCTTTCTCTTTCGGAAGGTTGAATTGAAAGTGCATGACTCTTCCATAAAACTTCTATAACCAAAACTAGTCATTTAGTGAGGGCGAACTTCAATTGTGGGCTTGAGCGTCGACCTAAATTTACAGAGTTGGGTGATGGGCGGTAATACTTGTCCTTTGTTAAATTTTAAATTATAAAAAAAAATAAAAGAAAACAATTTTCTTAAAAAATTAAGAATTACTAAATTTTTTTATCATAAGAATAACTAAGTTTTAATATTTAACTTTCATAAAATATTGTATAATTAAGGATTATCAAATATATAATCCTTTGATAGTGATTATTAATACGATAATCTTTTGAACTTATGAAAAAATGAAACATCAATAATCAATGTTTTAAATTTCAAACCAAGCCAATTAGATTTAACTTTTGGTTTTAATTAAATTAGTTTAATCATTTAAATCATCAATTTAACCAGATAATGTCATAAATAAATTTTGTTAAATAATTTATAATAAATAAAATTTTTACATACAAAATACGTAATAATTACTGCAAGTGATAAAAACACACAGCTTACAATTGACAGGTTGAAAGAACGAGATTTTCTGCCTTGGTGTCATTTTTACGTTTTTGTATAATTTAACTTATAAATATATTTTTCGGTTATTCACGCCGTCAGTCCACCAAGTGGCAAAACATTTCAAGTTGGACTTGGACGTTCAGGGTTCGATTCCATCGCCTCCCCCCTTTCTTTTCTTTCTAAAAGGTGAAAACCTCAATTTTAGTCCCTATATTTTAAAAAAAAAAATTTATCCTTATGCTTATAAAATTATTTTCAATCCTAAAATTTACTTTTTAATCATTTTTTAGCCCTTTCATTATCTTTTTGCTGAGATGGCTTGTTAGTTAAGAGAACAAGTTGGTTTTTTTTCATAAAAAAAGACATGGAAATGCCAATGTAAGAAAAAATTGTTGATGTGGACCACAAAATTATATTTTTCTTCACAAAATGACTCGGAAATGCAATACTAAAAAAGATGATAATGTGGGCAAAAAAAATATTAAACTACCATAATAATTTTACTAGACTCATTTAATATGCAATATTTAATTATTTACTCCCTTTAATTAAATTTAATAATTTTAATGTAATTTTTTTTTATTTTTTAAACATAAATTTTATATAAAAAATTTAAACATTTTCAACACAAATTTTTGTTCTTTCCACTCCTCTACAAAATTAAATTTTCACAAAAATTTTCCCAGTAAATCTGTTCTCCTGGTTCTTCTACGCAATTCAATTCCAAATCAAATTTATTTTCAAAAGGTTAAATACCTTTTTTGGTCCTTTTACTATAGAAAAAAACTCTTTTTTGGTCCATGTACCAAAAAAATCTCTTTTTTTGTCCATAAATTTTAAAATTCAACCCATTTTTAGTTCTTCCGTTAAATTTTGGCTGATATGATAGGTTAATTAACGGAAAAACTCTTTTTTTTTTATTACTAAATTATGTGAAAATTCCATTTGACAAAAATTGATGACATGGTTAAATTTTTTACTTTTAATTACTGATTTACTCTCAAAAATTGATGACATGGTTAAATTTTTTACCTTTAATTATTGATTTACCCTCGTCTTCTTACACATGCTCTCCTTCCTCCAGCCTTTTTTTCTTTTATCTCCAAGCAAGCCCAGGAGTCTGGGTTCACACCCAAGAGCTTGGGTTTGCGAGGAACCCAGCTTGCGAGTTAGCACCCAAGAGCCTAGGTTCACGAGGAAAGCTTGCGGGTTCGTGACGAACCCAGGCTCTTGGGTTTGCTTCGTCCGTGAAATCTTCAAGAATTTCCTAGCCACTATAGTTTTGTTTTTTTATCTTCTTTGTCTGAAAATGGGTTTGATTTGCTTCACCTATGAGAATTTGATATGGCAAATGAAGTAAGATTTTGATATGCATAACCCTTGAGAGTGATGTTGATGGGAAAAATATTGTAGACCCAAATCCAGTTGATGATAGTTGATGTTTTGAAAATTTTTACCTTAAGGGACTGTTGACAAAGGGTTTCTTTTGGATCCCTTCTTTGGGTGGACCAACTACTATTGCTGCTCGACAAAGTGGAGCAGTCATTTCTAGGCTTATTCCATTTGTGGTAACAAACTTGCTTCCTAGACTTTTGAATCCGAAAAATTGAGTTGTTGCTCTAATGTATGGTCAAATTTTAAAGCTGTTTCTCTTAATGGAATTCCTATCATGCTCTGATCAGTGATAATATGCTGAACTTTTTGTGATCTAGTCACTATATGTTTTACAATTTTCCTTTGAAGTTACCTTCGTGAAGCACAGTTTTGGCAAAAAGATGGGCAAATTTGTTATTCTTTAAAATAATTTACCTTGCAATTTTTAGATGTTTAGATGCCAAATTTTATCTAAATGTTTCATTTGGGGTTGACTGAAAAACCAAATATCACTCTCTTCTTTCTACCATAGGCCTTTGTTCTGAACCCACGAGCTGGGTTTGCCTGGA